CCCAGCTTAGCCGGACTAAATCCTGGACCTCTAGCCCCCGGCCCCTCAGTGATTAGTGGAGGTAAATCGCAAGTTGTGCCCTTGTTGGTTCCCAGGTTCCCACATGACTTTTATTCCTTTCCCAAAGGGACCCTCCTTCATGGTTATTACATCACCAAGCTGCTCCAACCCTTCCTCTGGTTATTACATCACTTGGCTGCTCCAACCAGGAATCGAACTTCCCACACTTGGTTCCAGAGCCCCCTAATGTGATTGTTCCGCCAACTTGGATGTGCCCTGGGGGGCTTGTACAGTCATTTTTATGCTATGAGAGGATTACTCAAGGACTAAACATATATTCTCTGTTAATAAAAATTATTTTTTTATAGATTTTGATGAAACATGTGGTTGAGAAATTGTGAATATAATGAAATATATTGTTAAAATTAATTTTTTTTACTTTAATTTAGATTAAAATTTTAATTTTAATTCCCACCAAAGAAGGATATACTAACAAATTCGAACCTTACTCTATCCCGTCCTCGGATTCCATAAAAAATATGTGTTCTTAGACCAATTAAATATGTTGTTAAAATTAATTATCGACATTTTCTATCAAGTTTTTAGATTACTCTAAATAAGCACTTATGATCATAATTGGTGTAGGCGAGTAATTTTGTTAAATTAAACAAAAAAAAAAAAGTCTTCAATAAATAAAATCTCGCATAGTTTTGTTGGAGCACTCGTCTAATAGTCAATAATTCAAATTTCACTACAGAATTTTGGACTGCTAAAAAGTTACACAAAATAATTTGCGCGTTTCTTGATATTCGTAGCAATAAAATTTGTTATAGGAAAGCGTTCTTGGCAGATTTTTCTCTCCTTTTTTTCACTTGGAAAAATGAGTAAAAATCTACTGTTTTTTCACTCCTATGTTTTAACTTAGGTGAAATAAAACTTACCTTATTTGAGGTCATGTTTGTTTTAGGTTGAGTTTGCTTAAAATTTGCATGTTTACTTATTTATGAGTCATGTCAACTTGACAACCAGACAATTCAACACTCGAAAACCCTTCAATTCTCTTGCTTCAATTCATCAATTACTTTCCAATTTGACTCGATTAAGTCCTTTGAAAATTTTCTTAACCAAGAATCTCGTGCAAGTTTTGCGAAACAATAAGTTGAACATATTTTATCTCGAAAATGAAAAGTTTGACACGTTTGGACTGTAACTGAAGTATAGGAATGCTCACCAAAACATTGAAAAACAAAAACACAGTGCACAAATTGCCCAAACTTTGTGTCTTAGGTGTAAACCCTAGTATTTCTCCAACATAAAACAGCTAAAAATCACAGTTTCAGAACTAGGGAACCTTTGTGTATTGGTGTATCAATATTAATAGAAAGTTCACAACCTTCTTCATATTATATATAAACATCGAGACACACGTAAGGTGCATTACTTAACACCACTGGATAATTAATTATATTTCTTTTTCATTCTTACTCAATCTTAACTAATATTATGTACCAACGAACGATACTAAAAAATGTTATTAACACTAAATATTCCAACTAAATGTCGTAAAGTAACATACAGTAACTGGGGTTCACTTCAATCAATTTTTCCTCTCAACAGTGTAAAAGAAATTAATTAACTTCAATTTTTGGTTATTCACGGGAAATGTCTCTTGCGTTTACTGAGATAGACATAATCAGGTACAACTTGAAGTCAACATCTAAAGTTGAGTAAATTAATAAGAGGGGCTGCACCAGATTGATTCTTTAATCTGAACTACCATTCTATTTTGCTTAGCAAACAGTTCTTCAAACTTGTATATTTGTAATAAAACAATGTTAAACGAGTCTGATGGTGCTAAGTTAAGGTTGATTTGTTAGTTATTAAGTACAATGGATACTGTCTTCTTATAAGCCACTCTTAATGTTGAGTTTACTTGTAACGTTTGTACATAGAAAAGCAACCCTTATGAGGATAATTGTTACTATTGAGAGGGAGACACAAGGAAAGTTAATTTAAGCATAAAAACTGTCTATTGTAATAGCCTATAGGAGACGAATAGGCTGGGATGACAAGATTGGAACCCACGAAATATGTTAGAACCAAAGGCATGCTACCAAGTTACGTCACATCGTGATTATTAGTTGAGTGAAGTTAGCTATCTAAAAACATGAACCGTCATAAACATCACTTTTGAAACATTTAGACAATAGAAACCATCTCAAGACTTTTGAAATTGTCGTTCCCATAGAAAAACCTTTTGCTTTTATGTTGCAATTTTTGTCTTTTTACTTTCCTTTCCACTTAACTTGCATTTCCATTCATCAAGGACAACAAACTGCATCGTGAAAGAGTCCTAAGGTACAATAAAGAGTGAACAAGAAAAAAGGCTCAATGACACAAGAAAAGAAGTAAAAATATTTTTTATTATATATTGTTTAGTTCTACCTCCAATGTGTGCAATACAATTGGATCCAATTTTCATTTAAGCTTTGAAAAATATGTCAAAGAGAGATTATTAGAAGTTTGAATATCATCAAAAGGTGCCGTCATTACTAAGAAATTTGGGTTCTTTACTAATCTCAAGTTTCATTATTTTATTACTAATTTTGATTTCAAATTCCCAATATATTATTTGAATCAAACATCATTACTAATTTAAAATTTCCACAAGGACGTGCCTTTTTTCCTTTTCATAGTTGTGTTCTATTTCAACTCTAAACATTAAAACAAGGTACATTGCGTCCATCTATTTTTTTCATGTTCCACAAATTGCCACACTTCAAAAATAATTAGGTTATTATAAGTAAACTCCAATCTACCTAATGAAGTAAATGTTGGGGAGGGAATATTACCATTTGAATTTTGTAGGAGAATAATGATTAGTGCTATGATAATGTAGATTTGAAGCCTATGGTTCTACCTACACTATAAAGTGATATACAAATAACACGAGTAGGTCCATTCATGCCCATGGTGGTTTTGTTTTCACACATTTTTGACTTTAATGGTTTTGATTTTTGTGTAAACTGCGCAATTTCAATATTTCACAACGACTAAAAACTCTTATGGAAAACTTTTATGATATTAACTTTTATATTAACGAGTGTCATGTGAAAATGGTTAACACTATACTCGCAAATGAACGCATTACAATTCAGTATCGCGAATACGTTGTGGAATGAATATTAAAGAAACCATAAAATTTAGTTATTTTACAATATTTTTGGAATAGGAGATGTAAATTAATATAGCAATATTAATTTTTTTAGAATTGTAGACTTAAATCGATAGTGTCTACACAAAGTGGTAATTATTTGTTATGTATTTTCCCTAACTCTTCAAAAGGATCTTAGACTAATTCATCGACTTATGCAGCGGCTGTTTAATAAGAATAATCACCAAAACTACCTTAAAATTGGAAACCCCAAAAGAAGAACAATCTTTTAGTTTTCAAGTATCCGAATATTTCTGTATATATTAATTTCTGATTAAAAAATGTTCAAGTATCCGAATATTTACTGAACAATCAACTTTATTTTACACAAATAACATATTCTATACATATAACGAGCTGATTTATTCCTTATCAGAGCAGCAATGGATCTATATATTACAACATATGAATGTGTATCAGCATAAAAATTAGATTCGACGTGCAGAATGTAAACATATTTAGGTTATAGAATTCACAACGTTCAGTCATAAGGAGCCGAAAGAGCTCCTTTAGATTATAACATTAACAACAATTTATGCAACTTCTAAGAAATCAATTTTAGGTGCATGATTATTTCAGAAGATTGACATTAAATTACACTGTTAAGGCTGTCAAGTTAGTCATAAGTATAAAAATTGTCACCAAATTCGGATTGTTTGAGAAAACTACAAGAAATATTGCCTTTAATGATGAACATTCGTAAAAAAAATCATTGTTTTGGTTGTTTTCTTGAAAACGAGAGGAGAATTTTAACGAAAAAGGTTTTTTCTCTAATTAGACATTAATAAGTAATACATACAAGTTATCTGATGTTTACTAAAAATGAAAAATTAATCAATTAATTTGTCACTTAAAGCTATATATCTTCACGGTGCTTCCACAAATTTGCAGTTCATGCAGCAAATCAAGTAATTGTTTTGGAAATATATGTATTAGATTACACTAGACTCCTGATCAAATACTTAATTATTCCTACACCACAAAATAAAGGTTAAAGAAAGTTTGAAGCATGTACAGTTATGGTGCAATTAATCATATATATAACTAGACATCTTATTAATTAGGCAATGTAGAAATAAAAATGTGCACTTTTATTTCCAAGAAAAGAATGATTGTAGAACTTTCTTACACAAAGTTGAGGTGAATCACCAACATCAACAAATCCTACGTGCGTTGTCGGCCAGATATTACCCACAAAATTTATCTAATTGTGAGCATATAAACTAACATATCTAGCGTACCTTTCATTAAGAAAATAAAACTATAATTGGATATGAGGGAAAAAATATTTGGATCTTGTGTTTGTCTCATTGATATATGTGGATCTAGCAAGATTTGTACTCAATTATAAGCTAGAAAGATTGATATATATTTCAAGATTATTAAAGTTAAGCTTCTATAGGGAACATATAATGCTGATACATGACAGCTAACCTAATGGGAAAAGGATGATATTTCAAATACATGATCAATTTTCTAATTAAAGAATTAGACTGTCTGCCAATTTCATCTACTCTCTCAATGAAATGACAGCACTAATTATAGGAAATTAATAATTAATTGCATGATATCAACGGTTACATGAGCCTAATTTAGATAAAAAAAAAAAAAAAAAAATTGAAATTAATATTGGCACTTTCTTTCACAAAATGAGAAATTCTGATTCATAGACAGTAAAGTGAGAAAAAGTGAAAAAAGTCAAGAGAAAAAAGATGTGCAGAAACAATTCATGATAAAAACAAGTAAACTGTACACTGAAATATTAAGGCTGATCAGTCCAACTGAGTGATTCCAAATCAAACACTGTGATCAGAGAACCTAAGCTTCAAATTGAGATTACATTTACTTCTACAACTTTTAGAAAGCAATTGTTGCAAGTCTGCAATTACTAATAGTGCATTTAATCCTTGCAGTTTTTGCCTCTAAGGCTCAATAAAAGCTAAACATAAACTACCCCTACCCCCTAGGTGAAGTGGGGTGGGCGGAGGGGGTTCACAAACACAGAATTAGAAGACCACCCAAGATCTAGGAATTGGTTGGTTAATGTGATGACTAACAGAAAAAACACAGTTTCTCCAACTTTCGAAAAGTAAACTAACTAACCCTAAATACTGATGTAACAGAAGATAGATGAGAAGTTACCCATGTAAAAGATTTAAGTTGCACCCAGGTTCTTCGAAAAAGATCTAGTGAAAGATACTTGCAATAATCTGCAAAAACTAGTACTGGTTTGATTTCTGGGATGTTCATCCTTCACCTGGTGGTGATTGTGGTGGTGCTGCAGTCAACTGTTGCGGGCCTTGTGGCTGCGGAGGAGGGCGCTTCCTCTTTTTCTTCTCATAGCTAATTCCCCTAGCTTTTGACTGTAAATCGCGCACTTCCCGAAGATACAGCCTCACAGCTCGAGCCCCAAAAGGATTTAGCTCCGACTTTCCTCCATTTTCTTCGTATGCCGCTCGGAGTCGACCGATGAGGGCGTCGAGGCTTCCCCAAGCCTGTCGAAGGGGGCAAGGACATGGAGCAGGCGGGTTAGGGTGACCATAGAAGGGGCAGATTGGGGTGTGGACTTTGGTCTTTCCAAATTGGTCGAGATATCGAAGAAATTCAAGAACATGAGCACCACTGCACCGCGAGAGAGTGAGTGGTGGCCTGTGGTTCTTAAGGTATTGTCCAAAAGAGTTCCAGTCCCGGCGCTTCTGGTTCTCGTACCGGCTTAACGTTGTTGGAGACGATGACGACGAGGTGCCTGCAACATAAGTATTCCCAGTAGTGTTGATGCTATTGTTCTCAGAGTTTGAAATCTCCACTTCAGGAAATGAATCCATTAAATCTTGAAGAAACTAAATAATTAGATGGATCTTTCAGTACAAAATCAAATTATATTTTAGCTACCAGGGATGAATCTGAATGTTATTCTGATTTTCCTTTGAGATCATAATCATAATGGAGAGCACATATTAAGATGAAGTGATTTTCTTGATTTGAGATATGATGTTAAATAGAGTAAGTGGTGATGAGACTAAGGAATGAGAGGAGACTGTTTTTTGAGTTTTTATATGTTTGAGCAATACTAGAAACATCAAAATTTGGGGGACTCTAATGTTGGTAGATTTTGTGGCTATTTTTCCCGAAATGAGGGGTGCTACCGCCCTCTTATTTCTTAATACCCTATTTCTCTAATTGGAGGGAGAGGGGGGGGGGGGGGGGGGGGGGGGGG